CAGTATTGTTCAAGTATTCATTCACTTCCTTATTTTTCATAAGCGTTATATTCCCTATTATCTTGAATGTTGAGAGCCTTTGTTTGTCTGAACAGATAATCCCACGCTCCACTGTGACTGCGCGAAGATCGAAATAAAGACCTATTCACTACTTCTCTGGTTTCTTCTATCAATAGCACGAGGGTTACCTTAAGGCACGAAAGATACTAGCATATCAGTTGAAGAAGCATGGTCTGTATTTAAAGGTAAATTTAGACTAGTTACGTCCCCGTTCATACCATAACTGGTACCGCGAAGACCGAATAATAGTCCACCATGGATAAATAAAACGGTCAGGAAACTCCTTAGAAAAAGAAAGAATCACTGGAATATGTTCATCTCTACTGGCTTAGAACAATACAGATCCAGTTATTGTAAGATTAGGAATCCCTGTAAAGCGTTAATAAGCAAGACTAGACATTCATATGAAATAAAATTGGTTAGGGATTCTAGATATAGTCCGAAACGGTTATTCTCGTATATAAAAAGGCGAACTAAGAGAAGCGATGGAATTCCATCACTTTTGATACGAGACAATCCGTTAATCTTAGCAGAGAATGATGCCGAAAAAGCTGAAGCTCTATCGGAATATTTTAGTAAAGTGTTTTCTATCGGTAATGAGGAACGACCAGTGATTCATCGTGATCGTGACGGCTCACTGATGGATCCTGTAGTCATTGAGAAAGATACTGTTTTAAGGCTACTTCAGCATCTCAAACCTGATAAGTCCAGTGGTCCCGATGATATTCATCCTAGGACTATGAAAGCCATATCAGATGAAATTGCTGAACCATTAGCGATACTGTTTGACATGTCTCTGAGGCAGCCCAAACTCCCGCGAGACTGGAAAGACGCTATAATAAGTTCGGTGTATAAGGTTGAGAGCAGGGATTGAGTTAGTAACTATAGACCCGTTAGCTTAACCAGTGCGGTTGTAAAACTGATGGAAAAAATCATTCGGATATCTGTTATAAACTATGTTAAAGGGCATAATCTTTTCTCCAAGGAACAACATGGTTTTCGGATAGACCTATCATGCTTGACAAATCTTCTCATTGCAAGAGAAGATTGGGCTGCGGCAAAAGATTGAAATGTTCTTGTGGATGTGATCTTCATAGACTTAAGTAAGGCCTTCGATAAGGTCTTCCATTCTGGTCTTAAATTCAAACTGAAACGTTTTGGAATCCATTAAACAGTCGTAGATAAGTAACTTTCTCCAAGACAGGAGACAAAGCGTAATGGTAAATGGGGCTCTCTACTCGTGGGTACCCGTAAAAAGTGGAGTTTCCCAATGCACAATCCTAGGTCCTCTTCTCTTTTTAATTCATGTAAATGAATTGCCAACTGTAACAAAATCATCCGTTCTACTCTTCGCTGGTAACATAAAAATTCAGAGACTCATACACAGTATATCGGATAGGACAGTATTAGAGAATGATCTTGACTCATTGGTGGCATGGTTGAACAGGTGGTCACTAGAAGTAAATACTAATAAAAGTGTAGTGATGCAAATAAATAACTATGATGAATCGCATCACTATACAATATATGGATTCGTGCTACCCAAAGCAAGAAACTATAAAGTCTTAGGAGTTATATTAAGCAATGATCTCAAAACGACTAGTCACTGTAAGGCTGTTGCTGTAAAAGGCTGTAGGGTATTGTGGCCAATTCGTAGGTCTTTTCAGTATTTAGATGATGAAATGTTTGGATTACTATACCCGATTTATGTGCGACCACATTTAGAATACGGGATTCAAGCAGCGAGTCCTTGTTTCAAATATGAAGCAGATATGCTAGAAAGAGTCCAACGACGAGCTACTAAGATGGTACAGGGTCTATCTGGCCTATCTTATGAAGACAGACTGAGACACCTTAACTTATTTCCGTTGTCTTATAGTAGAGTACGGGGTGATCTAATATTGGCTTATCGTATACTGAACGATGACCTTGGTATTAACATGTTTTGTCTTTTGATTCCGTCTAGAGCCGATCATTTGAGAGGACATTCGAAGAAAGTTCAAAAACCGAGATCAAACCGTTTACGTCTGGAGTTCCGTTTCTCGCACCGAGTAGTGAATTACTGGAATTCCCTACCGGAACACGTAATATCAGCACCGTCTGTTAATATATTCAAAACGAGATTGGACCTCCACAGTATTACAAACTGCAAGGATTAATATAGGTCGACAGACCTCCTATCCTTATTACTGAAGACTGAAGACTGAATAGAATGACTTGTTCGCAAACTAGAATAAGCTGTGTGAGCTTGCATAGCACTACAGTCTATAGAGTATTAAAAGCAGGAACATGACTTAGAAGTCTGGTCGAAAACGTATGGAACTGCTGTTAACGGCTGTTCCTTGGATATTGCTGTCGATCTCGCAAGCTGTCAAGATTACTACTAACTCAGTTTCTTTTTGTGGTATCTGAATAGAAATTATATTACAATTCGATCAATTAGGGAATAACTTTCTCCCGCGTATCCGTTACTGCACTCAAGATCACTTTTCGTAGTCATTCATGTTCTGTTCGTGTCATCAAGAGCACGGAGGGCTACGGATACTCATGGTTGCACTCTGTACCTATATTCCTGCTAGTTGCATTACTGGGTAATTAGTTGGGTCTTACGGGAAGTCTTTTGTTTCCTTAGGGAAGGTAATTGCTCAGATGTATTATTGGATAAAAGTGATTTTAATGCTTTTTATACGGATGTCCTTTTATCACCTAGGTCAGCTACGTGCTTAACTCGATCAACTTTGAGAAACAGAGAGATAACCAATCGTCTAGTGATTTAGTTGCCATAAGTCTGTCTAACTTTGTACACTGCTCAGCAAGAGAACCTTCTATGGATATATTTTTAAGTTATCACTTGGGTACTATAGGAATACTTAAATACTAAACCTAATTGCTCACTTAGTCAGGCAGATTCAGATAACCATTTTGGGTCGGCTTTATAATGGTATCCAATGTTTGGGGACTTAAGGTTACAGAGTCTGGAATCTGTCAAAAAGACAGGGGTGGATTCATCCTTACAAAGTGACCATATAAAATGTCTTCCTTATGAAATATGTTGAGAATCTGGTGGCTGACAACTTTCAAATGTGGAAGGTTTAGTAAACGTTCATCACTGACATTGATCTTGATATGCCTATTGACCACTACTAAGTATATGCAGTCGGGTAGGCATCATAAACATCAATAAACGCAAAGGTGCCAATGACGTTCGGGATTTGACAACTCGTTTACACATAACACGTCTATAATCTAAACACACCGACCCAGTCTAACCAAATGTCAGAAATAAAAGGTTTGGAAGATTTATGACTGTAAAGCTATCGATTTGTTGTGATGCGTTCGATCTAAGCTGGCTAGTAGTTGTAAGGTATGCGTACACAGTGGTTATCTGGTGCGAATGAGTGACCGAGTGCTTCAGCTAGTGTGTCCAGTGTAACCAATGTGGTTGTTGTGAACAGGAAAACAAGTAGCCTTGACAAACTACGAAAGCTATTTTTCGGGGCGTTATTCCACTTTATTCAAAGCTTGTAAAACAATGACATTTATTTTTGTCCCTAATTTATTTTACAGAACATAAGCTTTCGTTCGATGTATGGTTTATTGCTATACCCTATTTTTGTTCCAAAGCTATTGTTATTCAAACATGATATTTTGCATCCTATTTTCTACTCTAATTCCTAGCTTTGGAAGTAATTGTATTTTTCCTAATTATCGTGCGTTGTGGTCGGGTTAGTCACTTATTTATTCATGTACCTTTTTACACTGATCTGAACTGAACTCAGGATATCGAAAATAGGTCAGGTAGTGTTCCACTTGCCTTGTCTTCTCTTATTAGCGACTTATCAGCCAACCAGGTAATAGAATAGTTTTCTCCTCTCCACCCCGTTACCTACTCACGCGTATTAGCCTCATGGTTAGGTCGGTCAGCCTATAGCGCCAAGGTCTTAATGTCGATAAGATAAGTATCCTCGGCACCAAGAGTGGGTAGACAGACCAAAGAACATAACAGCGGTTAGCAGCAATTTCAAAGACTCACAGATCTATTTATTTTGGAGATTTGTTTGCCACAACAATCGTTTACGCGAAAGACCGTGAATGAAGAAAACGTGAAGCGGACTAATGTCAAGTTGGAAAACGGTTTTATAGCAAATGTCCAGGTACGAAATTTTTAAAATCAAATTTTCGTTCGTTGGCATTTTAAAAAAAGGCGTGTTACTCAACAGCAAGGGCGAAGGATCTTTTAAAATATATAGTCAACTTCAGAAAATGAATTGCAGTGTAGATTACTGACGTAGATGATTTGTGTCGAGTGATTTGGAGTTCACTCGAGTTAGATGGGAATAGTATGACTTTAAAGTCCCGCCTCGCCATCAACACCTAATGTGGATTGTCTTTACGTCGTATCAGGGTACTATTGCAGCCTTAAACATCATATAATACAAATGACGTTATTACAGAAATATATTAGTGAAAGTAAACACAACCAATTGTGTGGTCCAGTCTGTAGAGCACGATTATTCGGTGTGCATCAGTTTCCCTCGGCGTTGGCAGGGATCAATCAGCTGCTCGACACTTAATGACTTGGATAGTGTCCAGTGACATTTCACTGATCCTACATTTGTATTAATTGTTAAGTAGTCCAAATAATACCAGTTCACACACCTAAAACATATTCTCTGTTCAAGTACTTTAACACCGGTATCGCAAAATATAAGCTGATCACTACTAATTGATGTTTAGACTTCTCCATTTGTAAAAAATATAAAGAAGTAATGACATGAGCCGTTCAAATTACAGTGGACATGAAACTTATTTATTAAAAGCTCATGTTCGTACTCCTAGCTATTCTGCAATTTTAAAGTCGCGTATCATAGTACAAAACTAATAACTCTTCAGAACTTGTTTTGTTATCCAGAGGTTGTTTGTTTAAATAATCTAATCAGGGGCAATGTCATAGTGATTTGTCGCCTGTCTACTTTTAGATAGTCATTATGGACTCCTCTGACCTACATCTTGCAATTGATTATGTTGGATCATGTGGTATCGTTTTGACACCTGAACAAAAGGCGACGCTTAATACAACACTGACTATTTTGAGGCACGAAAACAAGTTCTCGTATGTGTCGTTTTGGGGTATAATTCGAGGAATCAATGGAGACTATTTCATTGCTCAAGGAATAGGCAAAGATGTATTAAAAGAAAAAACAAATCTGTACAGGTACATAAACAGTAATTTAGGTAACCGCTTTACTTTAGTAAAGATTGCACAACATGGGGGTTGTTACCGGTACCAGGGAAACAAGATATAGAAAAAAGTAAACTTTTCAAAATGAGACTAACAGGTGATCCTTCACATGAAGCTGAATACGTTGAGGTGAAACAAATGCCAGGAGAAGGTGATGAGCTTGTCGAGACTGAAGAACTTGTAATCTCTGTTTGATTAACGATTGGTATATGATTTAGATAACAATGAAAGAAGAAGATAGACTTGCTGCTATTATTTACCGCATGGAAGAGGAGGTTGTTATTGTTCCACGTGGTGCATTTATACGAATGTACAACGGACAAGTTGTGAGAAACAAATCTTTTGAAGGTAAATGGATGCAATTACTCATACAAACATAGGTTTAACTTGTGCTGAGGCTTCAAAGCTATTATCATACTTTCATTGTCGGCCTCCTGTAAATATGTCTAACAAACCATTAGCCGAAAGAGCAAAGCTGGATAAAGCCATCGATTTTTTAGATACTATTGAGGATGATAATCCTGAAGGTGAGATTCTTTTTTATTAAGACTAGATATTTCTCTACACTCACTTTTGGATGTGAGAAAGGCAATCTTCCTGAGATTTTAACATTTAATTCGTAATCTAGTGGAATAATGGCAGTTATTTCGTACTCATTAGCTGGTGATCATGAGATTATTTTTCATAGATTGATAATAAACAATATCCTCCTTTTCGCGTCCATTTGGACGAAAACTTTTAATCTATTAAATATCCACATTATAATTCATACTTAGAAAGGCCTATTAGCTGCATATATGTTTTGGACTGTAAACTAGTATCCCCGGCCATGTAAAGCCAGGACTTTAGTGTTCAAAGCGTGGTATACAATTTAGCAAAGTGCATGGTCAGTGAGACAAAGGCTTGTGCACAAACCTCTTGATTGTCAAGTTTAGTTTTTGATTGTTTTTTATCACCCAGAGAAAATTTGGATTTCAAAACGTTCATTTTTCAACGGCTTATGGGATCTGTTTAACTACTAGTGAATAGTGGTGAGCAAAGTAAAGACATTAGGTTGAATTCCCATCTAGAGACTTGTCTTTCGACAGAAACCGGGGGACATGAATGTCAGAAAGCAAGACGCAGTCTCCTAAGTGCGTCAAGCAACTAAACAATAGTTTCTTGGATGCATTTTTATCCTTATTAACCAAAGATGTCGCATCGCAACTGATCTATATTAACGCTTATTCTGATCATAGTCAGTCATACGCAACACAGAACCTGACATATATGTATATCGATCCGAATTGTCACACCCTATTAGCAGTAAGACGAAATTGTTAGGGTTATTCCCAGAGTTGTAACAGTATCAATAATAATAGAGAAGACTGGGGGTCGGAGATATAACTCGGGGAAATATAAACTAGTAAAATAAAAGAATTCATAAAATCATTCGGTCTTGGGTTCTAAGAGGAAACAAAGATTGAACCTGTGCAGTTGTGGATGATTTTGAGCCATGTCACTTAGTTACTAGCTGTTGGTTAACATAATCAAGAGGACCCTAAGCAGATAGTCTGCGCTTTTGATGAAGTTTTGTTCTCTAAGCTGGATGGTTTAGTCGTGGAGCTTTCATCGTTCTTCTAAACGACATCGTCAGCACAAACTTCAGGTAGACCATCCTCCTGGGCTACAAATCTTCTCCACCATCTCAGATACTCTGTGCATACCTAGATTCGAATCAAAGTATTATGATGCCTTTAAAGCACCACTTATCCTAAATGTCTTGTCAACCCTCGTGTGTGATAAGCGAAATCTGGGAAAGAATGTATTAAGATATTTAGACTTTGAGAGTATGTCTGCCAACCCAAGGTCGGATTTACTAAGAGCCTTTCTAGTTTACTTCAACCAGTGAATTTACAACATGTGCTCCAAGAAAAAAAAACATGTAGGGTATTTCTAAATAGTGACAGATAGCTTCGAAGCATCACTTGTGTATGGTGGAGCCAGTGACTAGTCAGACATAAAATACTAGGTAAAGATGAAGGATCAGTTGACGGTGATGTGTATTTTCACTAACTGACCGGACTAGAACATGTACTGAGTATCCACCTACCACATCCTTCAATGCCCAACGCTAATCGGCTAAAATTGGAAGAAAGCTAGAGACAATCAAATGAAGATCGTACATCCGAGTATTAGGTCATTAACTGCTGATATAAGCTTTGTGGATAGGTAAAGGTTTCCTAGTTGAGACCACTAACATAAATGGGTCGAACAGTTGGATATATAACATGCTTCGAGGTCGGGTACTATGGCGCTGACGTGTTCGTATTCCATCTTCTCTTAAACTATGATCATTTCATGTTTTTAGTCCGTCGAGTAAAAGTAACTGGCTTTAGTTACTTTATTTTTATATTAGCTAATCCCCTCAACTGTTTCTAGGTGTTCTGCGGTGGTGATAACTTTGGCCGATATATATTGTGTAGTACAGTGAGCATTTCGAAAGCTATGTCCAGGAAAATATTGTGTTGTGCAAATATATAAGGTCATGAAACAGCAGAGAAGAGTTTGGATATCTGGTGAGATAAAGGCATGAATAACGTAAGTTAAAAGAAAAACAAGACTTCGTTGGGTAGTAATTTCTATGATGCTAACGCAACTTCAGACCTATCCAACCGAAAACTAAGATGAGAATGGTTATAATGTAACCTTGAGGCAGGTATAATGTTACTTAGGAACTAACCATAACAAGAGTACACTATATACTTACAATACAGCATTGGAAAAAGACTGGAATGAATCAATTATATGTGCATATAGGATAAAAAACCTAAAACTTTTATGATGGATTTGAGAATCTTTTTCACTAGGGCGGTTATTATCAGGCCAGCTTTTGAAACAGCTGAAAATCTATAAATTACAAGGGATCATCTACACGTACGAGTTACTGACCAGTTGTCAGCCCATAACAGGCATATTTATGTATATACATTTTAATATACATGCAAATTTTACTTGTCGGGGTCGCGTACTTTACAAGTGAATATTACAATGATTGCTGCTTTTGCACATTTAGACTAAAAATTCTCTACACTTTGAAAAGGTTGTTGGGTGATTCAATTTGAACGTGGAGGCAACCTTGTTCTGGTCAAAAGTCTTTTATGGATTGGATATGTTTTATATCACTTACCAGGTACAAACAAATATGGATCAATTTATGTTGGAACTGGTGAATATAACATTGATCTCCCATTTATGATATAATGCAAAAAGTAAGTGAACTATACAAAGAATTATAAAATTTGTTGTATTTTACAGAAACATTGAAATATTTGTATACAAATACTTAAAAAAGTTGATTGGAATGAAAAACTAGTTTGTGTATTTGTTTATTTGATTACTCTTAATGTAATTGAAGAAACAACAGGCCGGAAATATCTAACACATCAAAATATCACAGGAATATATTAGAAATACATTTAATGACCAGTAATTACTCTTTTGTTCTGGGTGTGCATGAGAGTTTGTCGATAAATGCTTGTCTATTTCTGCGAATTTCTTCAGCTGATATTCGATTCTCATTATTTATGTCAGTTTGAGCTGTATTTTGGCCGATAAAATTCGATTCATTAGCTAAGAAGAAAATTTTTTTAAAACAATTAGTTAGATAAATTTCAGTAATGCAATGAGACGAAGATTATTAGAACTGTGATATTTTAGCGTAACACGTTTTAGACAGTTTGATCACATATATACCTGTTAAGATATTCATACATGAAAATATTGAAAACCAATAATGAGGAAAAGTATAAAGCTCTACACTGGATAATAAGTCGATAGCATCGAATTAGGCTTCGAGTGGGAATAAACTATTTCTGAATACACAATAACGGTTCGAAATTTGGCATGGTCAAGGCTTAAATAAGCGTTATTATACACCCTTTATTATTCCTACACAGCACTACAAAAGCTTATTTGATATCAGCCCTATGACGCATCTCACCCAAATGCTATAGGATGGAAGATGCTTGTCAGTCAGCTATAACGTAGGACCAGGCACATATATGCATCGGTCCAAGTTGCCATACCTCAATTAGTGCAAGATGAACACCAAATTAATAGTAGTTACTTCAATGGTAGTAATATATAAAATGCATATAAGGATATAATACAGGAAGAAAGAATTAATTCGTAGAAAGAAAGGTATAAAATTTGTATACACCTACTCCACTGTAGTAGATTCTGAGCCATATCACCCAGTCTCCAAACATTGGTTACGATAGTCACAAGGACCCCAACCAAGTAGTCTGCATCTACCAACATGGCTTAGAATAGAAGTTAATGGCTTCAACGACTGATGCCACGTTTTGATTTGGCCACCCCTAACTTTCTTCCAACCATCCTCAACACTAGACAGCACTGAGCGTCGCGGTAAACGGAGTGGCTCAACCATCTCAGTCGACGAAGATTTACAACCTCATCAACTGATTTACCATCATTCCCCACTACCTTGCATCTAACCTCACCAGCAGATGCGAGCAATATTTCTAAGGCATCTCTGGTCAAATACTAGTAGCTTACGAGTGTCTTCTACTCTTAATGGCCATGATTCGCTGCCATAAATTAAAACAGAACGGACTGCCGCGCAGTATACTCGTCCTTTTATTGATAGACGGATATCTCGCCTTCGCCATAGGTGACGTAAGTTGGCAAAAGCCAAACGAGCTTTTCGAATCCGTGCTGAAATTTTGTCAGACACCAACCCATTAGGGCTGATCAGACTTCCAAGATAAGTGAATTTGTCAACACGGGCCAGCCCTGGAGCGAAAACTTGCACTTAGAGGGAGATAAACGCATTCCAAACATTCTGGCATTGTTGCGTAGTGCCACCAAAAGACTCTGTATTTTATCAGCGTCTTCACCAAACAGGACTATGTCATCTGCGTATTCTAAGTCGATAAGTGGACCTCGTGGATGGAGATCAATACCCGAGAACTCAGTCGACGAGAAAGTTATTTCCATCAGTATGCCTACGACGAAATCGAACAAAAACGGACACAACTTGAGGTTGCAAAACTATGTACTTTCATTTAACCATTGGGATTTACAGCCACACACATATGCGTCAGCCAACCTTGCTTGTAGATTACGAATGCTTCTCACTACGTATGTGTCCATCCAAACATGTGAAGTGATAGAGTCGATGGGATGTGGGGCAATCGTTTACATACTGGTTGATTTTTTGATTAGCAATCAGTGGGCCTTTTTACGCAACCTAACTCATGTTTATCAAAAAATTAAGTTCTACATTTAATCAAAAACCTAAATAGTATTTAGATGATTGTCACATCTTATTGAATCGGTAACGAGAATGTTAACAAGTGGTGTGTGACGAACTTGCATCATTAACTGGCCAATGCTTGTGATAAGAAGCCTCTCGAATTCGAGTGTAAAACAATGAATCAAGTCAAAGCCTAACCAAATACTTGTTTTCACCAAATAGCCTAGTTTTTTCTTTACTATCTGAATACAAATCAAGTGATTCATAATTCATGAGTAAACTGGATGAAAAGAAGTAAAATATGCAAAACACGTATTTACCAATACAAAAATCATCGCATAAGTTAGTGTAACCTTACTTCAGTTGCTTCTAGTTATAGACCAAGAATACTAAGATAACGTGCTGAAATCCTTTACGTGTTAAGCACAATTGTTGGGACAGTCAGTATAACTATAGGTGCACGTACTGTACAAGTGTGACTTGTAGTTTAGTACATAATTACAGATCTGTAAAAAAAATACCACTGCTAAAAATATATAGATAATTTAGCTTACTACAATAGTGATGATGATAATATTAAAATTGACAACAGATTCAAATAACACACCTTGCAAAATACTTACGAGTATTAAGGCTTAAAGCAATCGCTTCCCGTAGTTCCTTGTCAGATGTATCTTCGTACTCCTGCAGCAAAAAAGGTTAGCGAAACAGGGGCTTGGTGAAATCAGGCAATTAAATAAATACAGAGCAATCCATTTTATAATGCGTCCCAAAAAATATCAATTCATGAGAGGTAACTGCGGCATTAGAACTTTATTTTGATTATTACATAACTGAGATCTACAGACACATTAAATTTACAAACAACTCAGTTGTTCATTACCAAAATGAAGCTATAAGATGTTCGCCTGATTCATGCAACTACAAATAAATGTGCCTGATTTTACAATTTTGATCTCCATAATCTAAGATCCTCTAGTTTTGGATACTTTGTACGTCAATTAGTGAGTAGAATTTACTTTAACCGATAACAGTCCTAGATGGAAGGAAAGACACTATCTAGCCTGGTGACTTTAAACATTCAGCTGTAGAAACTGATAAGTCATAAAGCTACTAGCTACGGGATGAAATCGTTAAAAGGTTTGTACCAGTACAAGTATCAATGTTTCAAACAGAATTGATCTATATCTTTCGATATGATATGAAAATGGTTAAAACATTGGATAAGAAGACTATGGTGTAAATGTCTTGATAATATTTATAAGAATGATCGCCCTTTTTATTTATTTGACCACATGTGGCAACCCATGTTGAATAATAAAACTGACAGTATGGGTGTGTTGCGGAATAAAATCAAATGTGCTGATTTTAGAACTAGCCTTTTCAAACCAAATTTTTCAAAGAGTGGTGAACACCAGCTTTGTATGTAATCTTATAGGATTTTGAAAACAGTTTACAATAGTTATGTGATTTCATCAATGAACCACACTCACACAAAAATGGTTGTCTTAATATCATTATTTTCTGCCATACTGTAACTTAAAGTAACAAGATTCAGAGATAGCATAGATTGACCGCGTCGAATGGATTGAGAAAGCACGAAAATGTAAATATAGAAATTATTAATTAGTACACCATTCAATAAATGCATGCACGCCAGCGAATAAAGGTGCAGTTAGTTGGTTCTCGTAAGTAATCTGTTAATATATTTATTTAATTATAGTTCTTTAACAATACGCCAATCTGCCCTAAATAAGTGTTGTTATTTGTCTTCGTACAGCTGTAAGTTAAGTCTCATTTGCAGTATTCTCTCTTTTGTGTATTTGATTATCTCAATATTTACAATATTTATGGTTAAAGTTACTCCTAACTTTGTAACTAGAAATGAAGTTGTGAGGGAAACACAAAGGCAATATATGACTATGAGCAGGTTTAAAATGTAAGTTCATGTCGAATTAGCATGAAAAAAGTTTACTCACATTTGCTGAAACTCTTAAAGCGAGTTGTAGTTCTTCATCATCATTTTCTGATGATTGTAAGATGCGTTGTAGGGTTTGGTCATCATCATCAATATCTGCATTACTGACAGCTAAGGCGACATCCACTTCTGTACTTTTATCCGGTTGACTTGTGCTAGTTGTGGAAGATCTATTAAAGTCGTCTTCAACAACAGGACAAATCTAATGAATTGTAACAAATTTATTAATAAAAATGAGAATATATTTTGGATGCTTTAGTACCAATCTGGATGTGTGGAAAAATTGTCGACTACATGTTTATCTATGAACAAGTGTACTTGAGAGTATAGTACCTTATCAAATCTAAATCGTTTAATGGGACAGTTAGAGACGATGCTACTTACTATTTTTGATTCTAAAGAAAGCCAGACCGTAGTGAATCCAAGTTTTTAAGATCATTAATATAACCACCTAGTTGAAATACAGGCTGAATTTTTGTTGTGTACTGAGGCCGTCCGAGTTTGCTATTGACACGTAGGCTTCCTAAGCGTACTCCCAAGCCAACTACTTGAATGAGAAAGGCAAGCGTGGATAGGAAACTATTGGCCAACTAAATCGAAGATACATATATGTCTCCCTCAGAAAAGTAAGCCAGGTTGTCAATCAATAGTGTATATAGGTTTCCCTGTAAAGTTAAGTCAAATCTTATCCAGTGGTGTGCGCCTGTCAGTGTCACTTATTTATCATTTGACCTGTGTCTGGATGGTTCAGCTCATCACTTTACCTTCCTGCAAAATAATTCTGGCTTTTGGATTCGGCTATAGGAACTGAGACGATCGATACAGGCCTAGTGGTGAGACGTTTTCACGAGCTTTGTTGTACTTACGGTTTAAGTATTTGCATATATCAGAACTGACAGAATAAAAAGTAGCTAAGTGCCGAAACTGAACTTCAGAAGAGAAAGTTCAAATTGAATAGGGATAGAAAGAGCTTAACAGCATAACAAACATGAAACGTCAAGTGACAGAATAAAAACAAGTGAAATTTCAAATTAAATTGGCGTACGGATAATATTTCGTCGGCTTCACATCGAGGCAAGGTACCAGTGATAATAAATATTGAATTTCCTTCTTCTTTAAGTTGAGCCAAATAAATAGCTAGATATGTTTCAGAAATTAATTTAGGTGCGGAAAGAATTGAGTTGAGGTTGAACCATTGCTTCCCAATTTTCCTTATCGTAAACCAATGATGCCGGTAGTGACAAATAAAAGCATTTTGACTAGCAGGATTTTCTCTAGCACGTTCTGCTTCCGGACATTGTCGCAAAAAAGGTACAAGTTCTAGAGACCATATCTGCAAAGCTTGGCTAATAACCTATGAATACAAATACAACAAATTTTCACCCATAGCTGAAAATACGTCGATTTACGTGTTTACAACACTGGGACTACACTGTTTTAAAATTTAAACTTAAATATGAGTAGCAAACTGACTGAATACAATAAACATGAAGTATACGTGCACTAGTGATAACATTAGAAACGTAAGCAGAATACAAACATTACGAAAATGTGTTCGTATCCAGTGATTCATTACGTCGAACTATGAGGTAGCCTTACGAGGTTTTACCACACTGTCAACAAAAAGCAGTACGAAACGTCACTGGCACTGGTTAACTAAAATCCACTACTCGCAAACAATCGCCCACCTTTATTAAAAATAAAATATGAAATCCTCTATTACAACTACATTTGTGATTATCAGTGATGTCCAAGTAAAAGATTTAGAGTTTTGTGTTACTATCGCCTGAACCTCTAGTATCTAGACATTTTCCATCGTATTTGATTAGGGAATGGAAGAAACACGAAACAATAACACTTGTAGACATTAAAAAACATAAATAAATGGGGCACTACAGGAGTATACACACATCGAAGATGGCTAGTAAGAATAATTTACTCTTATCGATTGTATGACGGATATGACCACCACGTGTGGATATAATTTAATCGGTAGAAAATTCAACACATACATAAGATAGTTACTTAATGGTAGGCTAAACATGAGTTTGTCGACCTGTGTTACGTCAGTCTTCAGTAATAAGGATAGGAGGTCTATTGACCTTTATTAATCACTGCAGTTTGTAATACTGTAAAGGTCCAATCTCGTTTTCAATATATCAACAGAAAGTGCTGATATTACGTGTTCTGGTAGAAAATTCCAGTAATTCACTACTTAGTGCGAACCGTTACTGAAACAAAAATCAAAGCGTCTCTCCTCTTTCAGATACTTACCTGTACTGAAAAGTAACCACTTTCATCCATATTTTGAAAACAATTAGACATACCGCGACTGCTTCCCAACTGGGATACTTCTTCATCGTCTAACTGTTTGGCAATGTTAGCTAAATCTACTGGTGTAAAATAAGGGCCTTGTAGAAGCGCATTTAGGCAATGTTGTGCACACAATGATCCATCTTGCTACATAACATTGAGAGAAAGATAATCAGCCCACCTTCTCGTGAAAAATCAGATCCATTTACACTCCCCGCCTTTAGTGACCTAAGTTAACAATCTATATGTCTATACGACAAAACAACATTTACAGTTACCAAGAAAATCACAAGAATCACCAATCCTCCACGTTGCTTCAGTGATCACAGTTTGTTCCTCTGACGACGTTAAGTTTTATTTCAGAGCACGTGACGTCAATCCGTTTTATTCGTTGAATACGAGACACACAGAATGAAATCGAAGTCTGGTTTCTAAGCACTTTCGAAATGGTCTCAAGAGTCACAAATGACTAGAAAAAGAATGTAATCTCAAGTGGATTAAAACTCGACTTACTGCCTGAAGGTATTCGTAGTAATGTTCTACTGGGCATGGAACCACGATTAGCGGATGATGTTTAAATTCCTCCACGATAATTTCGAACTATACTGTGTCTAGGCAAAAACTCAGTAACTGTATTGTTTGTTCACCACGCCCGTATACAGTAACTAGGAGTATTCGAGTTAATGTACAAAATAAGAATTTCCGGAATGGTGCAATTTAAGGCAGGTAGAACTAAATGAGCTTGCACATGAACCATAGATTTATTACCCTACCTTAATTAACCTTTCGTAGAGTGGAAGAAGTCAGTTCTTTGGTGATTTCTTGTTATAGCGATTTAATCGTAGTTTATCTTGTGTGCGGCCCGTATGCTATATTTAAGAAGTTTAGCTAGACTTTCATGATATGGAAGCCGAAAATTATCGATGCATTTTTCCAGCTCCTCTAGATTATTTAAATTCACTGATGTGATAGTACTATTTAAAGTTCGAACAAAATTTTCTGCTAGATCGTTAGACTAATGATGTCGTGGGGCTGTAAATGGATGGCGGCATCCAGTATCAGTAGGCTAGCCGTTAGGCGTTTTTCTGTGAAAGAGGTTCCATTATCCGTTCCTAATACACTGACCATACATTCGTTACTAAACATCTTCCTCAAAGCCCTTTGAGTAAAGTGTCTGCTAGGAATGCCCGTTGATACCACTTCTGACTATTTAGAACGTGAATCAAATATAACTAATCCATAAAGGAGCTGTAGTGGCATTGGACAATAGCCACACAATCCACAAAGCTGTGAACACGAGACTACTCAGAAAATTGATATTCAATATTTAACTCCGGGAAATACCTAACAATGGAGAAGGCGCAGAGAATGAATTGAATGGACTGAGTTGATCGAGCGGCATGGCTCGGCCATGCAGGCGTGGTCCCTGCTGGATGTTATCTTATATCTCCTATTCACATTAAATATATTGTTCTTTCTCTAGCCTAACCTTGTTCTACATCATGTATTGGTAATTGATACGATACAGTGAGTTGGTGTAGTCGATGGTGTGACTTCCACGTAAGATCTTATAGATTAAGCAGTTATATCATGACAAATCTACAATTTTAGGATTAGGTCTATTATTAGAGCAGTACTAATATCATAGTGGAATATAATTCTACAGAGCTTTAAAATGTGCCACAATATTGACAGGTAATGGTTCATCCAAAATACCTTCACTTTCGTTGGAAGGCGTGATAGAAAATATGCATGTGGTAAGCTTTTAGCTACTTGGTGCTTAAAGACGAAATCCTTCTCACACAACTCTAAATCCCATCTCTGGACCATGGCAGATGATAATCGATGAAAGGACTTAGATGGATGGTAGATAAACTTTGACGCTTGGCAATCAGTTACACTATCAAATTTTATATCAAACAAGTATTTGTCCAGTCTTACTGCCCATACGACAGCTAAAGCCTTTTTTGAATCTGTGAATGTCCTTATTCTCTTTTGCCTAGTTGTCTCGAAGTAAAAAATAACAGGTTTCCCATTATGCTCTGGAACTGCACCTTAGCCACTTGAGATGCATCTGTAGTAAGTATTGATTTTTCAGTCACTGAAAACAATCTGAGTAAAATCTTGTCATGTAAAAACGCCAGTGTCCCTCAGTACATCTTGTGTCGTTGTTCTGATACATACACTTTACTAAAACCAAGTAAAAAAGTGGAGATACTAATTATGTAAAGTCAGGAATGAATCTGTAACAAATCTGAAGTGCACTAATTCATGATGTGAGTGCTGAAATATTCTTAGGGGACCGTGCATGAATCAGTAAAGCTAAGCGACTGGAATCAGGTTTAAAACCCTTGGCATCTAAAGTATAGCCTAGGCAGTTGACGGAATTTAGTAGAATCTGACACTCGGATGGATTTAAAGTAATATTTGAGTCACAAATACGTCTAAGTTATTTTAAAATACATCCATTTTGCAGCTTAATATTCTCAACACGAACTACGATATCGTCTTGCTACAATTCAGCACCATCAAGACTGTTGATAATCTGATTTACAACCTTCCGAATATCTCAGTGGAAACATTTAGTCTAAATGGTAGTAGATTGTATTTGAACAACACAAAAGGTGTATAATAGGTAGTTAGTCCATTAGAAATCTCGTCAAATAAAATTCACAAACAAGTATTTTTAAAGGCAGTTGTAGAAAAATAGTCTGACCCTCGTTAGTCGTATAAAATACCTTCAATTTCTTCAGTGACACAACTCTGTCGCAATATTCGAGTATTTAGTGTTAGGCAATAATCACCTTAAAATTTAGGTGCTTTTACATCAGCCTCTAATGGAGACAAAATGGGAGATTCTCAACTGGACGACAAAACTCGGTCTATTGTCCCAGTAATCAGTTTATCTGTTCACAGGCTTTCTTCAACCATATGAACTTACTTTATGCTTCAAGATTATTTCATCCTTTTTATTTCTGAGTGTACTAACTGAATGCTTATTCCTTCCACGGCCCTCACGCATTGTTACACTAGATCTTTGATAAACGTACTGACAGAAGAATTAATATTTAAACAAATGCGTACATCCATCAATCTTAAGCCTTTTAAGCCAAATATAGATCGTAACGACCGAAATGCTAGTACTGGGTTTGAACGCAGAACTAACGAACCAACATTTATTTGGTTAGACCAGATTACGTTCTTCTGTATAGCATAAGAAGCGCTTTTGAGTTACTCGTATTAAATTATATCAAAATACAAACTTTTTTCTCAATTTAAATGGTTCTAATCCAAGAAAAATTTCTATCGAATGTAAAGAATACCTCAAATGGTACAGCCTGTGCTATACAGTGAAGGGTGTGGTGGACCAGACAGATATGAACTCGAAAAGTATAAACAAAATTACTAAAGATCAATAGTAATATTAATATATACAGTTAATTGTTACAAATACAATAAAAATTAGGGACGTTACTTAAATTGACCAAACGTTGCGTGTTCTGATTAGGTCCGGTAATGTAAATCCACAATTATAAATGCTTGATGATACTGAGCAGGTTGGCGAACTCTCTAGTGATATAATCCCACGTAGAATGTGATATATTCCAATTACAGTCTATAAATAATGACAATATTTGATTTAGACTTCGGCTAACTCAATCACAAACGAAAATAGAACGAGGGATGTGTGAGTAGTAATGTATTTGTTAGCCAGCAAGAATATGTCACGCTATGTTGAGATCACAACGGAATATGTGGTCAAGGTCATTGACTAAAAACAACACGTACAGTCATTTAATGATGAATGTACATACAGTGAAAAATTGGCAAACAAATACAAACAATATTAAAAACTATTTACAAAATAACCTTGTCAGTCATATCTCCACAAGGGTTTCTTTGACACAAATTAGCGTGCTAAACAACAAAAGAAACAGTTAATAAAAAAAGTTCAATGAAAATATTCACAACGAGATTGGACCAGATATCTATCTGGTCGGATTTCAGCCATTTCTTCAAGCAGAAAGTCAAAAATTAATATTCACACAATGAACCACGCCGTGACTTTGAGCTTAGTCATATGCGATCCTATTGTCAATAGTCCGAGAACATGCCACAGATAAATTGGGTAATCGCTGGTAAGTCTTTAATCAAAGTCGCACAGTCAAAGCTCAGACGATGAAGGCTGAAGATCACAGAGTGTGGTGAAAAGAGATTTGAATAAAGGTTAAAATGCACGACAAGGAGAAGGAACAAATAAATGATAATACTGTCCAACAAAGTGCTTTGGAGGGATTTTCAGTATTTTCTTTCCATTACATGGATGAACCATACTCACTAACTGTACTGACACAACTACCTTATTCTTTCCTCGACGAAATAGTCAAAGTATCGATGATGAATAGCCGATGTTCAGTCATGCCAGTAGTTGCACTAATTGTGGGTGAAGACGCCACAGGCATTTGGAGTTTGACAATGCTTTAACCAGTAACACCTAATATAAATCGTACCCACCAAGTGAAATCAAAAGACAGAAGCGAGGAGGTTCGAAGATATATTTGATAGGCTATCAATATATCGTGGATCGACTGATCTAATCTGGCTAGAGATTGCAAGGGTTGTTGAGCACGGCGTTCCCATTCGTGATCTGGTGCGGATGCATGACCGAGCACCTTCAGCTAGGTGAGTCCATTAAAACTAATGTGGTCAGCATTCAATTTCGAAGACTTAGAGAGGTATTTATTTTGGGGATTTATTTACCGCTACAATATAATCATTGATTGTGAGTGACTCACAAAAGCTTCATACACTATACAGGAGGACGAAGTTTGACACTATCGAATAAATTTAAGTTGTTTTATATGGTTTTCTACGTTAAGACCAAGTAATGGGACTTTGGTTTTTACAAATCCTATCAACTTTGTCAAGCATAGAAAAATTTATTTAAAATAATTGATTTTTAGTATTTTCCGGTTACTGTTGAGAATGTAGTTTTTTATTCCTTCATTCAACTGTTTTCATTTCTTACTTCTTCATTTATTCACATTTCAATAGATTGCATGCAATTAGTTTGTTAAATTAGTAAATGTAGCATATTTCTAGTTGATATATAAAAAAACTTTGATCCATTGTACTAAAATTTGAGATGGTGGTCATCCATCAAATTCAACTCTGAATTGATTGCTAGGCAAAGGTAATCCAGTGATTATCAATGTAATTTGATGCTACATAAAAATGTATTA